AGAAAAAAGAAAAAAGAAAAAGAAAGCACTGGATATATTGATTCCAAATGGGTGATATTTTGAGCAGGGTCTCGTTGATTCTGATACTTTACCGCTCAATGTTTCACGAGAAATGCTTCAACAACACAGCAGCTTAAAAACAATCAAGAAGAAACTTATCAGAAAGGCACTTGATATGATCCGTAAAATTGCTGATGAGGATCCTGATGAGGCAAATGACAAAGACAAGAAAGGTATGTATTGTTGTCATTAACTTAGGTTCATGCTAGTATTTGGCTGGTTTTTTGATATTCTCTGGTTAAAGATATCTTACTGTGTCTGTCTATTGGCTGAATCATCATACTGACATTTCTTAGTTATAATGGTGTGACCTTTTTATCCCTCAAATCTATCCGCGGAATGTATTTAGTGTTGCTGATGACTGGTGTAATTATGGATGCAGATGTTGAAAATTCCAGTGATGATGAGAAGAAAGGTCAATATGCAAAATTTTGGAATGAGTTTGGCAAGTCTATCAAACTTGGCATTATTGAGGATTCAGTCAACAGAAATCGTTTGGCAAAACTTCTCAGATTTGAAACGTAATGTCCTATTCTATGAATTTTGTTATCAAAATCTTTTCTGAAGCAGTGTCATGTGTAGTGATTCTTTTTTCATGACTTATGGTATTTGAACCTTCTCTTACAGCACCAAGTCGGATGGTAAATTAACATCGCTTGATCAGTACATATCAAGAATGAAATCTGGGCAAAAGGATATCTTCTACATAACTGGACCGAACAAGGAGCAAGTGGAAAAATCTCCTTTCCTTGAGAGGCTAAAGAAGAAGGGTTATGAGGTATGATAGAGAAACATTTTGCCTCCAGATAAGACATTAGATTTCATGTTATTTTCTCTAGCATTTGTTCCTCTTACATTGTTTTGTATTCTGGATACTGGAATTATTTTCTTTCTTTATTTACTGATTAATTATCGCCGGGTTTGGCATTTTGCCAGGTTATTTACTTCACAGATCCAGTTGATGAATATTTGATGCAATATTTGATGGATTATGAAGACCAAAAATTCCAGAATGTTTCCAAGGAGGGTCTGAAACTAGGGAAAGACTCAAAAGCTAAGGAGCTAAAGGAGTCATTCAAGGAGCTAACCAAATGGTGGAAGGGTGCTCTTGCCAGTGAGAACGTTGATGATGTGAAGATTAGCAATCGTTTGGCTGACACACCTTGTGTTGTTGTGACATCAAAATATGGATGGAGCGCAAATATGGAAAGGATAATGCAGGCCCAAACTTTGTCAGATGCAAACAAGCAAGCATATATGCGTGGCAAGAGGGTGCTCGAGATTAATCCAAGGCATCCAATCATCAAGGAACTCCGTGAGAGAGTTGTAAAGGACCCCGAGGTAAATTTTTCAATTTTTGTTATCTTGTGTTCATGTGTTTCGGAAGCATGAATTTGGAGATGTGGGTTTGCTTATTATATATTCTGGGTTTGTCATCCTGCCAGATCCTAGTTTGATCTTTTCTGACTGTACACACCGTTTTAGATGGTTTTGGGGCATGTGATTTTTTAAGCCAGTGCCTCTTAGGAATTTTGCTTTCGGGTTTTTAGTCGAACATTTATGAATAGTGACTGCAATAAGGTCGGCTTAGCTGGTTGATGCTAGTGGAACATGTGGTTGGTTTGGGGAAACTCTGCATTTTCATGGCATCAGTGAGTGGTAATATCTGCCCACCCAAGGTCCATAATTAATCATCTTCTTCACACTCTGCTACATTTTTTCTGTTTGCCAGTGGTAGCATGTCCTGAAGGATTTATGGAAGTGATTGCTGCATGTCTTAAATTAAACATCTGCAGTCTTTGAGCAATATTTCTGCTTCTGATACTGACGTCATGCTGCTTTTTCTCTCCAGGATGATAGTGTTAAGCAAACCGCCCACCTCATGTACCAAACAGCCCTCATGGAGAGCGGCTTCATACTCAATGATCCCAAAGATTTTGCCTCTCGTATTTACAGCTCCGTGAAATCTAGCCTAAGCATCAGTCCTGATGCTAGCATCGAAGAGGAAGATGATGTGGAAGAAGTTGAAGTTGAAGCCGAAACAAAAGAAGCCACTTCCAGCACTGAAGCTGAACCCACTAGAGATGACGAGGATACGGAACCCTCCGGTGTGAAGGATGAGTTATAGATTAGATTGCCCAAAGAAATGTGCCACGACCCTCCTTTTCAAGGCACTCCTCTTTCCTGTAATGCTGTTTCTTGAGAGAAGCTGAGCTGCTTCCTGTATTTTTCACTCTGTCGAACTTTAAGCATTAGATCGTAGAGCTAATGAATACTCAGGAATTTTACCTTTTTAGCACTTGGTTTAATGATTGCGTTGCAGCAGTGAAATGATAAACAAATGGCATTTTTGTTTTCCTGCATGTTTCATAATCCTTACACGGGTATACTGGGTTTGGAGCTTTCAGTCCGATAAGGATCATCAAGTGATCGTAGCTGATAACATTGATCTGACCTTTCGCTGAGATCATAGATTTGTTATAGCTTAGCGTGCCATCCCATTTCAATTCAGGTGGAACTCTGAATCGTTTAGATCGTGGATCCTATGGGTAAATTAGGTAATCTGATTTATTTTTTTAACTAACTTTTTTGTTCTAAATATATTAAATTAATTTTTTTAATTTTTTTGTGGAAAGAGCACCACTTGTTGGATTGCGGTAGGATTCATGTAAGCATTTTGTTTGTGGTTGAATATATATATATATATATATATAAAAAAAAAATTAATTAATTTTTTAATTTTTTATATATGTTAATTTGAAAATTTAAATTTAAAAAATAATAAAATATCATTTTAATATATTTTAAATAAAAAATAATTTTATAAATAATTGTTATTACAATATTGAATATATTTTAAAATTAATAAAATATTGTTTCAATTATATTTTGGCTCTGTTTATTATTGCGGCGTGATTATAATATTTTAAAATAACCTGAATTTTTTTATTTTTTATATTAATATTAAAAATAATTTTTTAAAAATAAAAATAAATTATTTTAATATATTTTTAATAAAAAATATATTTAAAAAAAATTAAATATAGTGTTGAACCACCGATAAAATAACTGCGTTTTTTTTTTTTTTTTTTTTTTTTTTTTTGGGGGTTCCGGGCCACGCGGCGTGATTATAATATTTTAAAATAACCTGAATTTTTTTATTTTTTATATTAATATTAAAAATAATTTTTTAAAAATAAAAATAAATTATTTTAATATATTTTTAATAAAAAATATATTTTAAAAAAATTAAATATAGTGTTGAACCACCGATAAAATAACTGCGTTTTTAATTTCGGTAGTTGTGTTTGTGATAATTTGGGCTGACAAAGTAAGGTGGGCTGGGACAAATCGGAGGTATGCAAAGCGCCAGAAGGGAGAAAGATACGAAAATGAAAAGCGTTTCTTTCCCGCGTACATTTCAACGCAGTTTTTTTTTTCCAGCCTTTTCCCCTCGTCCTTGCCATTTTGTTAACAAATTATGGGGGAAAAAAAAACATCATTTGTAATTTGTGGCTGTTTCTGAATTTAATTTTTTACCGAATTTAATTTTTTATTTTTTGCCTACTACTAATCGTTGAACTTTGTTTACCAGAGAGGCGCCCCCGAACTCCTGACAAAAAAACACAAGATTCCTCATTTTATAAAAAGCTTCTTTAAGGAACCAAAATCCTTCATCCCACGCTGTTTCATGGCAGCCGTCCAAGAATAAACAATAGAACCCACTTCCAAAAGGGGATGATTAAAGAGAGAGACTAAAGACAGAAGATTTGATTCTTTGGAGATTGCAACTCTCAGGTTTTTAATTTTTGTTTGTCTCAACACAGATTTCTCATTTCATGACCGATTCACTTCATTATGGTTATCAGGATACTAAAGAATTTTCCTGTAAGGTTGCCAATCATGGCCCTTAAAAAAGTAGATACACAAATTCATTTCCACGTTTCTCTCACTGCTGATGATTACAAGACGCTCCGGAGTCCAGATGATCGACGCCTCTGATGATATCCCACTGACAGGAAAATCTGGCTCCGCGATGTGTTTTTGAGAAACAAAGATTTCTAAAGTCTCTCCGAACTTGGCTGTGGACACCTTGGACTACATGACCAGCTACACCTTTGTGACATAATTATTTATATATTCCAAATCATGGAGGGACCGAATCCTACATCTAGTCATTGCCCTCTGGGGCTTGGATTTGGGACCCTTGTCCTTTCTGGTAGAGTAAAATGTACATTCCATTGAAATAGAGCATATCCCATTAGAAGAAAAGCTTCTTTTCCTGGTGCTCGTGGAGGTCTAAGTTGCACCCATGAAAACTTTTCTATCCATACCATTCAAAGCCCACCAAATATAACATCATTGCGTAGAGACCTTCAAGTTAAAGCAAGAGTAACCTTTCAAGTGCATGAATTTTGATTTCTCTACTTTCACGAGCATCTAAACTACAAATCAGGAAGATCACTATATCTGCATAGAGTTCCTCATTCAAGAACAACTGCTGTGTCACTAGCTCTCACATTTCTCATCCAATTTCACTAACAAACCACAAGAGGGGAATCCATACTTTAAGCAGTTTAGGTAGTGGCTATATTGCATGCATATGTAAATTGATTTGACAGCGTGATAGTCTTTTCCTTCTATGGAAGATACAAGTGTTTGCCATCAACATGTTATGGGCCGAATTTTAACCTTGGACAGTCATTGATGTTACTCTTACCGCCTTTGGAGAAAGCTGATGTTTCTGTTAGAAGGAAAGATAGATTATTTAAGGTAACATGCATGAATCTCAAAAGTTATCTGATTTTGATGTTGATCACTTGATTTTTGGTCAGTATCAAGATAAGAGCAAAGGTTAATTTCATGAATTTAAGGAAATGATAGGTGCATATCCCTTTATTAACAGCATCATTACCATTCTCATATTGCGGCCAAAATCATGACAAATCTACCAAGCTTGCAATTCCAGCAAAGTGGGGTTCCTATGGTGGTTCTCACCAAACATATTACTCAAGATTCACAGTGAAGCAAACACTTTTTTCCAATGCCTGCTAAATCAAATTGAATAATGATTTTGCCAATCTCGAAAGTCTCTTCCTTTCCAGTTCGTTGCTTTAGATTACAAATGGTTCATACTCTAGAGTCAAGGTTAACATACAACACACACATGTTATTTTCCGTGAAGAAAAAAGATTTTAACTTTCTATATATGTGGCCTGGAAAATTCTCTTTACAATCTGGATATGTTCAGCCTTTCCTTCCATTGCAAAACAAATTCGAGTGACCTCTTAAGCTGCATGTGCATTTGTCCAAAGTTGAGGCTATAAATAAACCAAAAAGAGGAATAGACAGGACACCGTAGAAAAAATCAAGGTAAATTGCCAAGCCCAACAGGGAAAGGCACTGGGTGAGTCCCCAGTGAGAAAGTTCGGCAACCACGAAGTGTCAATTCCAATTGCAGTGCTTGCAGGTGGAGTCTTGTCTCTTGCAGATTTTTCACTGCAGGAAAAAAATAAAGAAATGATCAGAATTTAATAAACATATATAAATCGCAATTTTCTCTTTACAAAGCCTGAAAACTAAGATATTTCTGCAGATATTCCTTTTCTTTTTCCTGTTTTCAATTTGCAAATCATTTCCTTTCTGTACTCCACATGCCAATGCCAATGGCACCCTATTAGCTTGAGGCATACAAAAGCATAGTATAGTTGGCCAAAAGTAGAACGCATGCCAAATCGATTGCTCAAAAAGAAGTTAACATTCACAGATAAAGAATCCATAATGGAAATGCAGGCAACACCTACAATACAAAATAGATACAGAATAAAGTGAAAAAGAAAACAGAAGCATACAATCCTTACCTTGTTGATGAAGGGCAGAATGTGATAACATAATCTGCTCCTGTGCATGTAAATGTGCTAGAGGCATCATCGTAAGCATAGCTATATGATCTCGGACAAGCGGTCTTGAACATCTCCGAATAAACAGATGGCTTACATGTGTCTGGTGCTCCATACGCGCCGCTGCAACAGTACTCTGGGCTCCCAAAGGCCTCACATGCACTCTTACAGGCCTGCCCTGATTCAACCCGTAATTCAGCTGGGCATTGCTGGTTCAAATCTGTCATACACCCGGTCGACAAGCAACTCCCTGACCCGCCATTTGGTTCGACAATCATGGGTAAATTGTAGCCGTCAACCAAACTAACATCATAAAAATCCTTCACACCTGATCCGACGGTGAATTCGGCTAGAGTGGCTGGAGGGTTTGCATTTTTACCATTGCATTCAATTTGGTTGGAGCTGCAGTCACCTGTTATGCAGGTGCCCTGACCGGTATTCGGGTCAAATGTGCAACCAGTTCTGCCCCAGAATCGACCTGACCAATTTGGTGGTGCTTGGAAGGATTGTGATCCACCTTGTGGAAGTTCAAATCCTGTGCTGTCTAAGGGAGCGCTGCCTGCATTGGAAAGAATACCTGGCCATACTGTATAGCCACATCTGTTTATGATTGTAAATTTAGCCCCTGATATTCCTGTAATAAATGTCCATGTCCCATATTATTGAAAAATATCTGCAATCAACAGAACTTCAAGGAAAGAAAGAAAAACATCAAAATTAGCATGATCATTAGTTTTCAAATAGTACCTTTGCAGACTGTAAGCAAAACGAGAGTGATGTGTAGAGAAGAACTGGAGAAGGCGCGATGCATTTGGAGAAATCTAAGCTGTAACATAAGGATATGCATATGAATCACTAACGTGTGGTTTTAAAAATTCTTCTTCGAGTAAGTAATATGCTAAGCTGTCTATTGATGAGAGGACGAAGAAGGAGAGTGAAAGGAGAAATTAATGATAGGAAACTTTTTCCCAAAAAACAACGGAAATAAAAGAGTACTTGCTTGGTATGAGAGAGGACAGAAATGGGAACGGTAGGAGATCAGAGTTCGATGTGAAGTTAAGAAACTTATGTCACTTACTCCATGCCTTAATTTATAAGGTGGTTGTCCGACTAAAATCTAATCTTTGTAAAGACAATGCCCCATGACCTATAAGATACTCAAATTAATTTTGTAAGGATGTGCTGCCCTAGAGAATTTCAATAAATAATTTGGTCTATAAGAAACATCCATTGTGTTTTCTTCTCAGAAAATACATCATTGTTTTAAAATCCATACAAACTTTTCAACCGACTTAAAATTTGGTTTATCTTGAATTGATTTGACCTGTTAATTTTTTTATATATTTTTATCAAAATAATAGTATTTTGATATTTTTTTAAAAAATTTTGGGTTGTCACCATTGAGTTAACCCCCTCCCGATCTCTAATTTAAACATTGTTATATCATTCTCATACCAGTTTTAAAATTATAAAATACCACTCTCTCTCTCTATGAAAAAGAAAAAGAAAAAGAAAAAAAAGATAGTAGCCTATTTTTTTAATGTTTTTTCCAAAACCTTCCTATGTACCTAGCTGCCTCGATCAGGAACTGAGAACCTAATGCGGAGAGATTCCATCAAAATGATGAGTTTTTTTTTTTGACAATTTTACGAAATTCCAGAACGACGCTTTCATATTGCTATGTCATGGAAATTTGCTATCCAATGCAGGGGGTTATGCGTACATGTGCAATGTTTATCAACATATATATTTTACTTCATGGGCATGCCTCCTCAATATCCGTTGCAAAATCAATTGATTTGAGTTTGTTGGAAGGAGATGTTTTTTTTTTAAAAAATAAA